CACAGATAAAGAGAATAAAGCAAGTAAATTATACTCTGCCTGATAAAATTGATTTTTATGATATTAACCCTAATTTCCGCTTACAGGAGAATATAAATGAAACCGAAGTAGAAATTAGAAATTTGAAAAAATGATTAAAATTATTGGAAGAAAGACAAGAAAAACAGGAAAAACAGACTTCAGGCAAAGATCTCATAATTCAAATAACTTATTGGTTCATTTATTTACTTTTATAATAACTTTTTTTCCTGTTTTCTTTATCCGTTATATTTATAATTAAGAAACAAAAGAATTACTTGTTAAAATGGACTGTAGAAGATTTCCTTTTTTGAAAAACTGTAGGTTAGTGTGTTTGATAAAAATAAATAAGATTTTCAAACAAAAAAAAAAAAATACACAAGACTAATAAATAATTTTTTGAAAAAATTAATTGTTAAATTTTTTAATTTTAAAAAATGGCAACAATTGAAAAAATTAGACAAGAATTAAAAGATGCAAAAAAAGAGCATGAGAAGGCAGAGAAGAAGCTGGAAGAGTGGAAGGTAGAATGGGAGGTGAAGTTGAATGAGTTGGAAGAGAAATTGGACAACGAAGAATATAAGAACAAAGAACAGAAGGAGGGGTGGGAAGGACAAATAAAGAGATTGATTGAAGAAAAAGAGGAGTTGAAGAAGGACAAGGACAATTGGACGAGGCAGGTGGAAGAATGGGGAAAGGCGTTAAGAGAATTCAGTGGAGGGGAAGGTAATGAACAAATTGCGTAAGAAAATATAAGAAAATTATTTTTCGTTCATTACATTTTGTTTTATTTATTTGTTTGATATACTATTTACAACATTAACTAACTTGTGGTTTTTTCTTTCTGCTGCTTCTATCAATTGGTTTATTTTAGGAGAAGGTAAGCAACTTTTGATAATTCTTATGTTTTCAATCCTACACTACTTCTCTCACTATTGTTGCTTTTCTTTACAGGAGTTGAAAGTATGAGTTGGGAACCTCTTTTCACAACCAAAGGCTTGTTATCAGATGCTAATCTTTTTTGTATAATTTTAAAGCATTTGTTATTACCCATTAACACTAATTTATTACTTCCATTAGAATTAAGCAGAGCTTTCAGCATTGATTATAAAGACAATGATGATTTCATATGTGAACTGAAAAAACAGTTGAATGTAATTACTAATTCAGAAGGCTATTTTAATTATCTGCCAGTCATTCAATCATCTGGTTATGGAAAAACTAGAGCTGTTTGCCAGCTTGCTAAGTCTCATCCACTAATATATGTGTGTTTTCGTTCAAAAACTTCAACTGGGCATCCACCTGCTACACCAAAAAGCAATATCATGCACCAAGAGCTAGTGAATATGAAGAATATAGGTGAAGCTCATACTATGGCACTTTCTTGGCTGAGGTCAATGATTCAAGTATTCTGTGAGATGGGATTAGAAAAAAAATCTGAAGACTTGTTATATGATGAAGTAAGATAATTGTTTTTATTACCATTGTTTAATATATGATATGCTTAACCTTTTTACTTTTTAACAGAATCTAGCTAATGAATTCTGGGAAAATGTTTATGTTTGGAAACAGAAGCAGGAAGACAATAAACAGATTTTAGAAAAAAACTTTAAAAAGATAATAATTTTTTTTGATGAAGCATCTTCTCTTCTTTATGATGGTAAGTATAATATGGTTTTTTGAATAAATTTAAATACAATCTAATTGACACATTTGAATTCTTTTTCTTTGTTAGTTAACAAAAACAAAATGGATCTAGGATTTAGAGCAGTTCGTAGAGCACTCTGGGATCTTAGACAATACTCATATGGTATACTCACAGATACCAACTCCTCAGTTGTTAATCTAGCACCTTCAAAGGAAGATGATCCATCAGTAAGTATTCAATGAGATTATGAATATATATTTTCCTATACATGAAATTGAGTGATATGACTTTTTTATTTTAATTTAAAGGCATGTGGTAAATTGAGCATCTGTAAACCATTCTTCTATATTTCAACACATGATTGTTTAAGGTTTGCTATTTTTCTTTTTTGTGCATTTTTTTAAGTGAAATTCATATGCTTATCAAGTTTTTATAGGGACTTTGAAAAACTTCCACATGAAGATGATGGTTTGGGATATAGTATTGTTCGATTTGGTCGGCCTCTTTGGGGCTCTCTTTGGGTTGCTAAGCAAGGTGTAGAAGATCAAATCAGATTCCAAGATATAATTTGTCTTGCAAAACAGAAGCTTCTTGGTGGTGTTGTTTCTTGGAAATATCTTAATAAAGTAGACAAGAAAATAGCAGCACTTGCTGTGGTTTCCAGTGTTGCAACATTACATGTCTCTCCAGTTTCATCTATTGCAAGTGCTTTGGTGATGTCACACATGGCTACATTGGTTGCAATCAGTGAAGATCATAGATATCATATTATCACATATCCATCAGAACCTGTAATGTCAGAAGCAGCATTAGAACTGCTTTCAGATAAAAATGTTGAATTTGAAATACTGTGTGAACTGGGCAATGCCTTTCAATCAGGTGGCATCCTTGATGCTGGTAGTCAAGGAGAACTGGTTGTGAGATTGCTGTTTTTAGGTGCTTGGTGTCACCTTATCTCCTCAAAAAGAGGGAAAAGCCCCAACAATAAGGTATCTATTAAGTAATATTCTTAAGAAATTATTTTCAACATTTGTTTGCATGATCTCACTCTTGAATCTATATAAAGGTGCCCTTTTCCATTCGCCTTCCAATCTTGGACTTTCTTCAGGAACTCTTCAACAAAGATTTTCAAAAGGACATATTTTCACACCTTGAACATTTTCAGATTGGTTTTACCCACTTTGTTATGCTTGATTACATGCCAGATAAGCAAATGTTTTTGGAAATTTACAGGCGACATGCTGCTATAGTTTGTCAATGTAACCAAGAAGGTGTTGATCTAGTGATTCCTATTATGCATAAAAATAAAAATGATATTGGGGCAATTATAATTCAGGTATTTCAGATACATCTCTTAGTTTAAATTTGTGTTAGCTAAAAAATAATTGTATTTATAGGTCAAAAATTATAAAGATAAGCAATCCCAAAACACAATGAGGAGAAAAGCTGAGTGGTATAGTTGTAATCTGTACAGATTACAACTATACCACTTAATTCGGACTATAACCATACCCTATAATAGTTGGACTATAACTATCCTGAAAATGACGAGAGAAAAATGAATCACGACACACTTTTCAGGGTAGTTATAGTCTACCAATTGATGCTGTGCAAATTGCACTTGTCACGTCATTCGAGAGTCACCAAGGTGTACCGTAGCTTAACGATTGTGACCAATTTTTGTCATCACCTCCGTATGCAACATATCGTGTGCTAGTTTGGTAATCGTGGTCGATTTCTGCCATTAGACTACATGGGTAAAAAATATATCTGACGATGCATTTAGTCATATATCGTCATTTGTGGGCCCGATGTGAGGGCTATGCCCGAACCTGGCACGTAGTGCCTTAGCTTTCTGGTTAATTCCTCGATTAGGGCCAGAGTTGAGGCACATAGTGCCGAAATAGTATTCGTGACCTGGCTTTGTATGATGTGTTCGAATATTGATTAAGAATGAGGCACGTAGTGCCGAATTGTTAACTGTTATAATGCATTCAAATATCACCCAATGATGAGGCACGTAGTGCCGAATTGTTATCATGTCTGGTAATATACCAAAGCATCTGATGATGAGGCACGTAGTGCCGAATTGTTAGCAGTTATTGGTAACCCACCAAAGCATAGTTTTATAATATATATATCTGTAATAATTTTACTTTGGTGTCCTACTTTTTTTGGATATTTTATATTTCGTAAAGCATCTCTTGAAACATATCATATATCACTTACCCAGAACTGCACCTCGATCACAATCGCGTGACACAAAAATGGTTATCAGTTAAATTATCTTACTTATATACCTCAAGTACTTATGTGAAATTACTTGTCAGATACATAAATCAAATATCCAGGATATCAAAGTATTAATTTTCGATTTGAATTTTTTCCTGCACTTATTGTAAACGGCGGCAAAAATCCCCTTACCTGGGATGAATAACTAGTTAAATGTGGCAATCTCTCTTCTCCAGAAATTACTACTTAACTAGATTGTATTGAACAACAGTTACGCATATTCAATGAAGACTAAAGATTTATTTTTCAGCTCTTTTTTATGCGGAGTAGTAGGAACTTTCATTTTAGCCTCAAAGTTTCGTTTATATTCCAAGAACTCGGCCTCACTCATACTCTCACGCTCTTTTTTCCAGTAATTTTGGTTATCCCGCATTTCAAATAAAATATTATTTTTCCATTTTTCCAGTCTTTCTTGAGGCATTTGAAATTTTTGCTGTAAATAAAATATAAGAATATCTACATCAGATTTGTTTTTAATAAGAAATTCCGAAGATAAAGAAATTAAGGATTCAGGTATCTCAATCTTAGCTTCAGTAATGCTTGAGAATTGTTCAGAATCATTTGATTGATTTTGAATCTCGGATTTTTCAGTTATATTATCGCAAGAACTCTTTTTACAAATCTCATTACTGGATAATATAGAGCATTGAAGTTTTGCTTCTTCTGAAATAATGATATCAGTAGTAATAGCAGAGCTAGTGTTAAGACATATGGGTATTGAATCAAAAAGTTTTTGAGTTTCATTAGCTGATTCAGGTTTATATGGTGGAAGAACTGGAACTGTAAGATGATAATTAGGAACATTCAACTTTATAGCCTTTATTCTTTCTTGAGTTTCAAAACCAGCTCCATTATCTGGCACACGATGAATCCAATAAGTGCTTTTCCATACTTGTTGACCCTTAGGTCCTTCTTTTTTTCGTCCGCTCTTGACAGTATAACCACACCAATTACCTAGTATTGCATTAATAAATTTTACTGTAGCATTGAGATCTGGCATTCCTTTAGCCCTGGTCTTAAAACCAAAGAGCAATAATGCATCTTCTCGAATTTTAACAATTTTTTCTTGTGATTGCTCAAAAGTCTTAGTCACATCATCACCAGAAAGAATATTCATATCATCTATATCTCTGAAACCTATTGATTGGACAAGACTATGTACTGCTTCCCATTGTTTTGCCGAATAAAATTTATGCAAATCAACTGAGGATGGATCCATAGATTCATGTGAATCTTCCCATTGCATTTCTTCTTTGATTTTTAGATTTTCTATAGCTTTTGTTGCATTGGAACCTTGTCTTCTGAAATATGCCAACCTCCTAAAATGTTGTAAAGGTTCAGGATTATTATATCTTTTCACGAAATTTATGTCACAAAGCTTAACCCAATCATCATTATTCATACCCCAATTTCGAATATCATCTTTACCTCCGATATCACCTGAAGCATATGTTCTCCATAAATAATGACGTTGTAAAGACATGTTATCAGCAAAAGAACGCATAAGGTT